AAGATGGAAATCAAACACCCTCAAGCAACAGAACTATTTGAATGTTAAACCTGAAAAGTTATGGAATTAAAAGTGCACTAGAAATACAACCACTATTTTGAAATGGCATTGAAAAGTCAGTTAAAACAACTGTTTGGATTTTTTTTTCACCGAAGTTGTAACTATTTTTGGACTTGATAACACACGTACTTTTGAGCAGGCAAAGGTTGTCTCATTGTTCCATTTAATGGGAGCTCATTAGCATTAAGGTGACAAACTTAAGGATAATGCACATTCTCACATGCTGCTGAAACAGCCGCTCTCACTGAGCGCCAGAATTCACAGTCAGCACCGATGTGGTGACTCAAACAGGACGGTGATTAACCTCCTGTGCTATGTGAATACCTGGAATTTTTCTCAAAGAACTACGAGTGCACTTGAGAACAGAGTGTATGGATTGTGACACAGCCACGGTTCACCTCCACAAGAATGAACAGCCTTCAGACTCCCAATTGTTTGGCCAAGAAATGAAAATGCCTCTGACGTGAAGACTACCAAGAACAAACCACGTGCAGCAAAGCTTTAGTGAGCTGAGCTCAAGCCAATTCTGCTCTTGAGAGAGAACAGAGGCAACCAGCCACTACCCCTAAAAGCATTTAGAAGATTCACTTCCATTATCAAGACTCAAATTTTGATTGCATGATCTTTTAAATCATGGTTCTATCCAGGGTATATGAAAATACTCAGAAAATATGAATGAAAGCTTAATCACTGACTTATTACTAATTACTTTCTGGGGTAGGATCTGCATTTAGTCAATATAATCATTCAAGCCATACCCAGCTCACAAGTCCACTCAAGCTCAGTCTCCTAAGTCATCTATAAAGCAAACACTCATTAAAACACGAGGCTGCAGTGGGGGCAGGTATAAAACTAAACTGGGTGCCAATAAAAGAATAAGCATTTGATGTAGACTAGACAAATTTAATTTCAGCACACATAACCAATAAAATCTTAGTGTTCTGCCCAGCAAGGGCAAAGCAAACAGAGTACTGGACAAAAATTACTCCAAAACCTCCGTATCAGGCACACACAACATACCAGAGATGCTGAAAGGAATTCAGAGATAGCAGCAGCCAGGTTACAAAAAGCAGAACAGCTTGTATATGAGTTAAAAGGGTAATAAGCTAATAAATAAAAAAACTCGGTGGCTTTTTTTTTTCTGCTGAATTATAGTGCTGCCCTACAGTGAAAATAAAAACTTTAAATAATTTTTTAGCAAGAACATGGAACAAAACGCCTCAGTATCACATACTCAGGTGTGTGTTACACACAGCAGATGTGAAGGTGCACTTACCACCCTCCAGCCCAACCTTCACCTCACATTTGATTACAATCTTTTGGAGAATAAAAGCTTTGGAGTTCTCACATGCAAACAAAGGAATGAAATAAGGAGACAACGACCCCGTTGTTAGCATGTTAACACCATGCTAACTCAAAACAAGCTGCACCTTCACCACCCCCACCTTCCTCCAAAACTTTCAAATAAAGAAATTATCTGGGAACATTCCTCCTCTAGAAATACTCCAATTACAGTACCATTAACTAACAATAAGGCAGAAGGGATGATTCATACCTGCCTACTACAAAAAAAGGCAGGTCCAGCCCACCGGAGGAACATTCATCACGTCAGAAGCGGCACAATCATGATATCACTGAAAGGCTTTATCCTATCTCTCAAATCCTTTCTCAGCATGGACACCACAGGAACTGTCCACACATGGCAGCAATGTAAACGTTTGGCTTTCAAAGACTACAGTTTAAACATAATTCAGTAATAAAAGTTTAAAAAGCCAACAACTTCACCCTCAATTTGGAGTAAATTTAAATCTTATCGCGCCAAGTGAAGGGCCAGACTTTCAAACGTGACTTTTATTTTTTCCACGTTATTTTATACAAAGTCGGTGTAAATACCAAGAGACTCATAATAGGGCTCTTATTTCCACAGTTTGCCAGGTGCTCAATACCACCATATAGCAGATGAAAGACAAAACTAAAACTGTGCAACTCCATGGTTTATTTTAACCCCTCGAAATGTTTTCATTTTATATCAGATGTTGAACACCATCCCATTAAATAGGCCCGCACTTTACACTTTGGAGGAGATGAAAGACTGGAAAAGTAACTTAAGCAGAGAAGGCTCCTTGCCACCTGAGCTCTTAAACACGTGCTGTTCTCCTGCTGACTCCCCCGGGAAAAGGCAGGAGAGCCGTGTCAGCACACCAGGAAGTCACCCGAGATTCTCACTTAAGACTCACTTATGGGAGACACTTTTATTCAAGCCCTCTGTTACACAGCATAAAGCTGCTGTACTGCCAGTCTCCAGCACTGATAGAACATAAGCTCCAGTGACCATCTCTGATAAAAAAACTCCCAATTATTCCAAGCCATAAGGAAGAGAGGAGGGCAAACCTGAATTTTACATCTAGAGAACCAGAAGTTTATTTTCAGGCTCCCATACCATCACCAGGAACTCCAGTTTGGGGGTATAAAATTTTATTTTCTGTGACAAGAAAATGGGCTGACTGGAATTCAAGTGCTATGGGGAATCCCCAGAGCAAGTTCAGAGCAGTTACCCAAACTGAATAAACTAGACTAACAAAAGGATTGTGCTCATGTAACTGTGGCCACAGCTGGGCTGTGCTGGCCCAGCCCAGTCAGCTGGGTACAAGTATTGATTTGGAATATCTAAATAAAGAGCTGTACATCACTGATCAGTCTTCAAAGCCCAGGCCACTCCACAGGAAGGGTTCACTCCACCTCCCTCCCACACAGGCCTTTCTTCTTTCTCTGTAGAATTGCTCATTTTCATAGAAGGAAGCTGACTCCTCTGCGATATTAAACGGAGGTGCTGTTAAATAATGCATTAGCAACAAGTAGTTCTAGGAATGCCTTGAAACCTGCTCCAAAACATGCACTTAAGGGACAGTCCCTATTCATTAGAGCTACACTTCTCTGTACAAACACCAAGAACATCACATGGGTGATTCCCTAGATGTATTTTAAATCAAACATACAGTGGGGAAGGAGGAATCCTAGAGTTTTGGGTTGAGGAAAAAGTGGTTTGGGTTTATAAGCATATCACACTGATTGTTTTCAACTTCATAAGGCACAAACAAAATGAAAGGCTTCACCAACCACAGTACCAGCTGTGCTTTATTAGTGTTTGAAATCAGAGCTACCAGATATTCCTGTGCTTTCTGGTTTTGTCCACATGAAAAGGTGACTTTTTTTTTTATAGTGTTAACATCATTCAAGCTGTAGAGACCAGCCACACATTTTCCTGAAGTTCCAGCACTCGCTGGAATGTTATCCTTACAAATCCACACAGCACAAGCCCTGACTGCTTCACCTCCCCTGCTGCTGTAACACCTGATTAGCAGGAAAGGAGGATACAAAATACAGACCACAGCCTGGTCACCAGATAAAAAAACCCCAAGAGATCCACGTTCCCACCAGTGGAGAACACATTCCCACGTGGGTGCATTTACAATTTGCCTGGGAAACGAAAAAAGAGGTTTTAACGTTTATTTAACTAACAGCTTGACACTCCACATCCAACAGTTCTACAATTGTTAACAGCAGAATGACACATCAAGAAATTATTTCGAATATAAAACAAACGAACAAAAAATAATCTATTTTCTTTTAGAACAAAGCTTTCTCAGCAAAACTTTGCACAACCAGCAAAGGAAAAATTAAAAATAGAATGGATGTGGATACACACATGGGAGAATTTACAGATTTGTGCAAAGCCCTGACCACAAGACACTGGTGATATATTCTGTGACACACAGGTACACACTCATAAAACACTCATAGGACTCTCTGACTGCCTCTAAAAGGCAACAAACTCCACTTTAGGACAAGTTCACCAGGGCTTACCTCTACCTCTCATGTAAGCTGGAAGAATATGCTCTACCCCACAGACACACACACACAAAAAAGGTCCAGAAACGCATAATCACTAAGTGAAAAAAGGGAACCACAGAAACAGTCACCAAGTTAAACAAATATTAAACAAACGCACTCGTAATTCGGACGGAGAGAGGCTTTTGGAGGTTATGAATTATGACTCCAAATACGTCTTTTGGCCCAGTTATCCCAAACTTTCCCCAAGCACCTATTTCTCTGCACGTTTTTCAGCCTGTGCAGGAACTCAGGGCCGGTTCCCCTGACCTGCACCTTTTATGTTAAACCACTTCTATTTTCTCCCCGCGGACAGCGCGCCCCATGAACGACACCGGCGCCTTCCCCGGCTCTGCAGCCCCGGGCCGAGGGCTCGGCCGGCGCAGGGACAGGCGGGGCGGGGGCCCGTGAGCGCCCCGGCCGTGCCCGGCGGCCTCGGGCAGGTGAGTCAGCAGCTGTCCTGTCCTGTCCCTGCTCCTGTCCCGGCCCCTCGCAGCCGCACCGCGGCCCCACGGCCCCGCAGGGCCGGCCCATCCCCCGCGGCCCTCAGGCGGCGGCGGCTCCCACCTTGCTCTTCACCTCCATGGTGCCCAGGCCGCGGCTGCCCGCGGCGCCGCGCTGTGCCCGGTTCATGCCGCGCGCGGTCGGTGGCTCCGCTCCTGTCGCTCGTGGCTTCGCCGCAGCGCTGCGGGACGGGACAGGCCGGGCAGCGGCGCGGCCCAGCCGAGAGACCCCCCCAGGAGCGGGAGCCGGAGCCGCGGCCGCTCCGCCGCCTCCGCCCTCAGCGCGGCCGGGCCGGGGCGGGGCCGCGGCGGCGGCACCTGCCGGGGAGCGGGGCGGGGCCGCGCCTGCGCCGCCTCCGCGGGAGCGCGCGGGGCGGGGCCGCGCACCTGCCGCCGCGGGCAAGATGGAGGCGGCGGAGGGGCGGCGGGGTGAGGGGAGAGTGAGGAGAGGAAGGAGAGTAAGGAGTCGGCGTTGTCTCCCGGCAGCAGGTGCGGGATGTGCCCCGGCAACCTTTGCCCGCGGTGGCCGTGGCTGTGCGCGCACGGGGCTGGAGCGCGAGTTGGCTCCGCGTCTTCTCGGGGGCCTCTCGCCTCCTGCGCCCTCACTCCCACAGTCCTGAGGAGCCGCCATCCCGCACGTCCCAGTCCTGAGGAGCCGCCATCCCGCACCCCTCACACAGCCCTGAGGAGCCGCCGCCCCGCACCCGCCGTAGCCCAGAGGAGCCGCCATCCCGAACCTCCCAGTCCTCCCACAGCCCTGGGAAGCTCCACAGCCTCGGGGCCGGGAGACCCTGGGCTGGTGCCCTGAACACACCAAACCTCTCAGACATCTGAGGTTGGGGATGGACTGGATGATCTCCGGAGGTGCCTTCCAACCCTAGTGATTCTGTGATCCTATGGGCTTAACACACAAACTGCACCAGTGTTAGTTACATAAAATAAGTCTTGATGGGGCTGAAGGTTTAAACTCTTCATCTCTGGCTGTGGCTGTACGCCTGTCCTGGCCATAAAGGTGTTCATGGAGTTTGTTTTCATTTTAGCCACAAATAAGATGGCAGGATCTGGTAACATGTCAGAGGGGTTGTCCTAGGCAACCTTCATTGGTTTAATTCTGAGATTGATAGTTATTTTCATACAGAGGTCGGTTTAGCCACCCTGAGAGAGCTACTGACAAAACCAGTGAGTGGGGGGACCATAAGCACTTTGCTGTCTGAATTAGAATGAGTTTCCACTTGTGTATTGGCAAGAAGAAAGCATGTAGATTAATCAAGGTATGTCGACTAACTTTTGAATTACAGTTCTCTCCCTAATCTGCAAACCTGATAGAAGAGAACTCCATGTGAGGTATCCTCATGTAGATGTTGTGTGGACGGCTGTGAAGGGAGTTCAAACAACTCCTTGCAGTTGAGGCAAGGCATGAGTGTCTAGTCAGTCCTCAAGTCTCAGCTGGTAATCAGTAATTAAATAAAAAACATCCAGTGCTGAATCACTTTTAAGAAGGTGCTGGTTTTTATACAGCTCATCTTAATCCCATCATGCCAAAGGCAAAGGAATTGCAGCTATCACTCGAGCCAAGACAAGCTGTAATTAGCACAGAGGATATTGTTAATAGTTAAGTATAGTTTGCTGTCAGACGGTGTCTAGGCTGATTCAAGTCTTTATCCAGTATGTTTTGGTTTTACACTGCAGAAGGATACGTAGAGAATTCAGCCTGTAAATTTAGATAAAATTGGGATCCTGGTGCAACAGAAGACAGACTACAGCTATGTAAGCAGGACTAGAGTAAAACCTCTTATTCTATCACTTTGTAATTATTAAATTGAAGAGTTTGGACTGCTTTCCCTGCCTGTCTTCTACAGCTCTGCTTAATGAGCTGTAGGAAGCAAGAAGAGTGGGAGTGACAAGGGAACAGCGACTTCTCTGGGTTTTTAAAGCCGCTGGTTTGCTTCTTTTCTCTTGGAGTGAGGGAGGAAGGACCTCCTGAAGATGCTTTCTGCTGGGAGCCGTTGTGCAGTTGACTTTATTGCTATAGATTTATGAGGTATCACCCGAGATAATTTGTTTTCTATTGTGCATTCCTGGCGTGGCTGGAGTGCCGTGCAGTGGGTGTGGGAGCGTGCCTAAGGAGGCAGGGCAAATTCACTTCAAGTCACTGGAACCAACCTAATAAAGTGTATTAATCACTGCCTGGCTTTCATCACAAGGAGCTGACGTATGAGGAAGGAATGTGATAAACAATTTGATTTCAGATAAAGGTAGGGAGAGAGGCAGGCTCTTCGTGCCAGCTCTAACACAAGTTTGTAGAGCTATTTTAGTCACAAGTTCTGTACAACCTGTGATTCAGACCCGATCAAGCTATTCATGGCACGTTCAGTTTCTGTGAGGTTGAAAGACAGGTTGGGTTTCCTAATCTCTGAGCAGTTGGGGAAGTTGATTGGGAGGCCATTTTTTTTCATTTATTTGTTTTGGTGTAGAAATTCCATCACTTAAGTCCACCATGAACTATAATGAGATTCTATCATGATGCTTCTTTCCCATCTCGACACTTCTGACAGTTTAAGTGGGATGGTATTCCAGACAACCCTCCTGGGGGTTCATAGAATACTTGCAAGAAGAAAGCATAGAAAATTTCTGTCAGCATATGTTGACTGTACTGATGAGCCACCTAAACTTTTATTGTATAGTTCAGGGCTTATGCTGATTTTATGTTTAACACAAACTATTCTTTGTTTATACTGTCAGTGCCAGCTCAGAGGAGTGGTTGTTGGATTCACTAGATTGTAATCAGATCTTTGATTTGCACTATTTCACACAAAATATTCCCATAAATTAAACATAGTGTGGGGAGGGATGATTACCAGCAATATACCCAAGTAATTTGGGACACCAAGGTGAGAGAAACCACTGAATAATTTCTGATTTTCTTACCTCTGCAGACATTTTTGCCTTTTATTCTGGATGGGAATGGTGACTTTCATCTGGCTCCAAAATCAGACCTTCAAAGGAGGATGTGCTGCAGGTACTTCAGAAAATGGGCTGTTTGTCCCAGCTCTGGGGGGGGCTCTGGAACATTCCTGTGATTGTTCTTGGTTTGGGGCTTTAGTTTGATAACCTTGTGAAGGTTTTTGAAAATACTTTCTTAGCAAGTCAAAAGCTGATACTGATACATTAATTTGTACTCTCTGAGGTTTCTAACTAAAATAATTAAAAGCTTTTAAAGCTTTTTCTTCCCCTTCATCTAGTGATCCATTTCTGTTCAATGACTGTGAGTTACTTTGAAATTCCTCCTTATTTAAACAGGGCAGTACTGAGCACAGCTGACACCTCACACTTGCACTGGTGTGCAGAGTTTAATGATTTAACTCTTCTGGCTGAAGTGTTTGGAAGAAGCTACACTGGTGCTGAGCTGTACAGGTCAATAGGTAACACTTCAGTGTTTCTTTCCACAAAGCAATTTGTGAACATTTCTTGTTTGGTTTTCCACTACTCACTGAGTATTCCTGGGCTAGAATCTGGAAAAAAATATGGCAAACCAAAGGAATAATTGTTCCAAAATTTCTTTTTAACTTCTCTTGGTACAGATTGGAATTTAAATTTTGTCTTATTCTCAGAGAATTAGACAAAAAAGTTCTGCCTAATAAACCTTCTGGAGTAAAGACTTTGCTTTTGTGCTTGCCTGGAAGCCATTTTATGACTATTTGTGGGGAAAACTATGCCCTCTGCTAGTGGCTTAACCTGAAATAAGTAAGATATTAGGTGCCATCTGCTGAATAATGAGTACTTGTGCCTTTTGCTACAAAGGAATGTTTTTATACAGAATGGTGGTTTATAGACCTTAACATTATTTGTGACTACGTACAGTATGCTTGGAAAGCAAATTACTAGGCTTTGTTGTTCAAGGTAATTTCCTCTCAAAGAAGGATAACATTTGAGCTTTAAAGTGAACAAACCACTATGGTCTCTAACAGTTTAACCTTTCATAAACACACAGCTCCAGTTGCACAGTCCCTTGCTGCCCAGCGGGATTGGACAGTCTTGTCTGGTGTCCTCTTGTTCCCCAGGTGTGATGTTTGAACACTTAGTGTTATTTTGACATCACTTAATGAGTTTGTAGCTCACTCATAGGCAAGTTCCTCCTGCCCCCTACTTTGGCAGGTACTGTTTCAGAAATCTAGCATTTGACTTCCTTCTCCTGAGCTTTTCTATGTGTGCCTTCTGTCAGAGTGCCACAAACAGGTTTGTGCTGAGTCAAACTGCTCTGACAGAAACACGTGAAGCAAAGTCATGGCAGGGCCTGTTCCCTGGTCTGACTGTGAGACAATGAATTGATTTTGCAAATGATTTCAGCATCTGGTTGCAAAAATAACGATACCTTTTTATAGAACAACGAATTATTGCTTACTGAGATTGAATTATCACTGGATGATCCCCGAGTCAGCCGGGGGTGCTCACACAGGCTCGAAGGCTGGAAGCAGCGCGGTGCCTGTGGGGCAGCGCAGACCGGACTGCTTTAGATCTGTGCCGGAGGGGGAGCCGGCACTAGGGAAGGGAATCCCGTGGGGATTGTCCATCGCACACGGGAGGCTGTGTCGCGACTGTCGCGACTGTCCGTCCTTGGTGCTGCGGAGTCGCTGCCGGCAGAGGGTGCTGTGCCCGCGCTGTCCGCACCGCTGTGACCGGAGCGACGGCCATTAATGAGAGCCGTTAATTAAGGCAGCGGCCTTGGCTGGACCGCAGTGCGTCCAGCACAATAACAGCGTGCATAACCTCACCTGGATTTGTAATGGACATATGAAATTAATCTTACTGGGGTTTAGTATATCATTTACAGAATCACAGAATGGTCTGGGTTGGAAGGGATCCTAAAGATCACCCAGTTCCACCCCCTGCCGTGGGCAGGGACACCTTCCACTAGACCAGGTTGCTCCAAGCCCTGTCCAGCCTGGCCTTGAACAATTCCAGGGATGGGACACACTCATTTGATTTGTTTGATTTGTCATTGACTTCTTGCTGAAATGACTACAGAGTATGAACAGGCATACATATATATATATTAATGTAATAAAGTGCCACTGTTTATTAACCAGATAGTACTGGTGCAGTGGTGATAAGTAAAACTAGAAAAGTACAAGCCAAGGGAACTAGAAAAGCAATTTGATTTTTCTATTTATGTCACATTTGGAAATATTGAATCCAGTGGTTTCAGCCACTGTCCCAGTGTGTTCAGCTTTTAGAAGATATTCTTTGCTTCTGTTGGCTCTTCTCTTAGTATGTCTTCTGAGTTATAATACCGTGAACTATAAACTCCAGCACAGATAGATGCACAAAGAAGGAAAAATAACCATGTGCTTGTAACTCTGGATGTGTGTATTTACAGTTTAGGCTCACTCTAACACACCCTCACAAACTGGGAGCAAATGCTCTGTGCAGGGATGGGTTTGTAACGTGCTCTGAAGTTTGTCTTGTTACAGTAATGAAAATGCCTGGTCAATATGTTGGTAGACTGAGAGATAATCCACTTCTATGCAGATTACTTCATATTATTAATATTTAACCAGCGTTCTAAAATTAAAAAAATACAAAATAGAAAAGGGTGGGGTGGAGACACAGGCAAATGTTTGCATACATATTGCTTGCATTAGGAGCTGCAAGAAGAATTATTGTCTCTCCAAGCCAGCCTGGTGCAAAGGATCACAGTAATAGGCCCAACTACTGAGTTATTAGCTATTGCTTTTATAAACAGAGTTATGGTTTATAGCAGCCTTTCTGAAAGTCAGTTTAGTCTGGATGTTCCTGAGAAGGCTGGTCTGGTCTGCTCACAGGGTTTGCTGCCTGTAAATCGGTCCATTTAGAAAACAAACAAAAACTACTGAATTCAGTACTTAAACAATAAAATAATGATTAATCTGATTATGCCAGGACACTGGTGATGCTGAAACACTGAATGTGTAATGCTGTTGCAACCATCCTGAATGCTTTGTTGTGGAATGATCTTTGTATATCGTTGGCATATATTGATGGGTGTTGAATGGCTGAATTTGTGAAAGGCTTTTGTGAAGTGCTTTGAGATTCTGGAGGAAATGTACTGGCAGTTTTTTTGTGTCACTTGAGTTCTGAGAGACATAAGAGTGTGTTTTATTTTTTCATTGTAAATATTATAATGGTGCCAGCAATGCAGTATTTACTGCTTTTCATATGCGTGAGAATACTAAACATATGCATTTCTAAAGGAAATTCCAGAAGAATGTGAAACTAGCTTGTAACAATAATTCGTAGGTTTGTGTCCATTGTTTTCAAGAATATGTAAATTGTTACATTATAGAACTCACTTTGAACCCTTCTACATAATTATCTGCACTGAACATCAGTATTCAATTTGGAAAATCTGTAGCCAAGTGTTTTATTAGAATTTCATGGAAAAGGAGAATGTGAACAAAACCATAGAGCAAATGATCTGAAATACAGTTAAAAATAATGAAAACCAAGCACCAGCCACATAAACACACCAGATGAAGACACAGCAAATGAAGATCATAAAAAATAAAATGGAATAAAAACACATAAAGCCGATCTTTAGCTGAAGTAAATGGGGACATCTGCACTGGGAGTGAGGAAGCCATGGTCATTTGTGTCAGCTGAGGGGCTGGTCTGTGAATTTGTTACAAGTCTCATGTTCAGGAGGAAATGAGAGTAACAGTAAAGGCTTTTTGGTCAGCTGGTTGCATGGGGCTCCTGCAGAGATTTGGTGTTCTGACAAATGTCCTCCTGCAAATCCAGTTAAGTTGATTTAAACTAGTCCCAGAGTGCCCCACCCTCTGTGGGGCTGGCACATGGAGACAGGGAACTGCTGCAGCTCCCAGCCTGTGTTCAGTGCAGTGCTGTGCTGCAGGAGCTGCTCTGACACCGTGCCCGGTTGGGGCTGAGCACACACCCATTGCTGACTACCTTATGGGGCTGGAAAACCTGAGCACAGTGGCAGGACATGTAGCTGCTGCAGTTATAATTGCCAGGGGATCTTCAAGCAGGGATTCTTCAAGCAGTTAGTGTGACTGATCCTAAAAACCCCAGATACTGGGAAAATCAAGATAAGAGTTAGAGTTACAGTTATTAGAGTATCTCATTTGTTTTCCTAGGTACACCAGCTCTCGTGTCCATGGTGGATCACCACTGCCATTTCCAGTGCTCCAGGCCCCAGCCAGTTTCAAGATGAGGTATGAAACCCACTTTTACTGCATCTCAGCACAGTTCTTTCTAATATATATAAAACCCAAAGCGTCTGAGTCGTTGACTCAGCCAACTCCATCAGCCCATCTGTTTTTGTCTCTTATTGCTCTCCCTTTCATCTGTGTCGGTTCCCTCATGCATCTCCTTGAAAACACGTTCAGCTGTGCAAAAGATCCCCCCTTGCCTCTTTCAAGACTTTCCTTTAAGCATGTGCACAGAAAAATATAAATCCTGATCAACTTCATAAAGTACCGCAAAACAAAGTGGTAGCTCTGCCCTAACAGGTTCTTGGATGGGGTCTCTGGTCAACTGGTGCTTTGAGAACTTCAGTTTTGTGTTTTATCCTCCTGAAACAGGATGGGAGAGTCTGCTGTGCGTCCTGGGTGTTGCAGAGCATGGTCAAAGGGGGAGCAGACACTATTAGTAATAAGTTATCGTAAGGGCATGTCCGAATTCCACACAGTCAGCTCATTTTCCCCGTGGGGAGTGTCTGGCTTCCTGTGCTGTCAGTCAGTCAGCATGGGGAAGTGGTGCTAAACACCAGGGGAAGATGGAAATGGATGAGCCACAGTGTAACCCGGGGTGCTCTGCCCAGGGCAGGGACGTGTTTGTGTGAGGTGTTCTGACAAAGTACTGTTCAGGAGAGAGGTGTGAATGTGGGGGTGTCTGTGGGGAGATGAGGAATGGGGAGATTCCAGCCTGCTTTCTATATCACAACTTTACCTCTTTTTGCCAGGATTGCCTGGAAGGTGTCTAGAAAGCCAGCAGAAGGCAGCCCATTCCCGAGGAACAGTACCTGCCTGCAGAAGCGAGAAGGAGGTCAGTAGTGGGTGCAGCAGGAAGGACTCAGAGCAGGCTTTGGTCAACAGAAAATAAGAGAGCAAATTACATCTCTTCAGTCCTAGAAAACCTCTGGGAGGGTAGGATGGTGAGAGGGAGGAGGCAGAAGGAAAACGAGAGATGATGATTAGGGTTGTATGACTGACGGCTGTAAGGGGAGGGAACCTTTAAAGGGATAGTGAAGAGAGAGCGTGGGGTAAGGGCAGAGGAGGAGTGAGCAATGGATGGGCAAGATGGGAAAGGCGGGAATCTGGGCACGGGAGAAAAGGCCTGAGAAGAAGTGAAGGCGTAAGAGTTGGGGGGCAGGGGAACGGAGGAATAAACGGCGGGGGGACAGGGACGGGTGTCCCCGCGTGTGATGCCGGTTTGCTGTTGCCCTGCGGCGCTGTGGGGCCCGGAGTGGAACAGCTGGAGCGAGCGGGAGGGCGCCTGGGATGCTCCTGATTAATAGCAGAGGGTCCGGGCCGTGACCGCCGGCTCGGCATGTGCTGGAGCCGCGCGGCGCGTTCCCAGCCCCCCTGCCAGGATGAGGGGGGTCGGAGGGAGGGAGTGAGGGAGAGAGGGAGGGAGGGAAGGAGGGAAGGAAGGAGGAAGGCAGCGAGCGGGACGGGGCCATCGGCATCCAGCGGCAACCAAGCGCTCCGAAGCCGCGGCTTCCTGGAAGCGGAGCCCAGCTGGGCGACAGGCGGCGGCGATAAGCGGCGGTATCGGGGCCGTCCCGGCGGGCCCGGCCACTCCGCGACAGCCGCGGAGCCGAGCCGCGCTCCGCACCCGCCGGCAGCGCAGGTAGGACGCACCTGGCGCGGGGGGCACCGGGAACGGGGCAGGGGCACGGCCGGAGCGCCGTCCGGGTACCCGGCACCGGGACGCGGGTCCGGGACGTGCAGGGCAGCGCGGGGACACCGGCACGGTCTCGGTAGGTAAGAGCTGTGGGGCACCGAGAGGGGACAGGGCAGGCACCTCTGGGGGGGCATGGCGGTCAGCTGTGGGGAGGATACAGTCACCTAGGGAGGGGCATGCCAGTCACCTATGGGGGGGATGCGCAGTCGCCTATAGGAGGAGGACATGTCTGTCGCCTGTGGGGGGATGCAACCACCTTTTGGGCAGGTGATCTCCTGAGGAGAGAGGAGGCAGGCATCTGTAAGTGGACAAGCTGCAAAGGATGCCGATATTCCTACAGAGACTGCACCGGCACGAAGAAGTTTGGTAGCTTTTTATCCAGGGTAAAGCTGTTCACACCAGGAAACAACCGGGGAGCACCTGGCTGGAACAGGTGGAACAATGAGAGCAGCAGGACAATGCCATCCTGTAGGGTTTGTGTTTTGGAGGTGTCATTGCGTGGGCTGGTTGTATTTTAGTTAACTCTTTTTGTCTGTGCGGAGATTGCATTTTATTTGCTCATAAATACGAATTGAGGGTTTGGGTCACAGCCCAGTTACATTTTGATTCACACAGAGTTTAATTTCCCCTTTTAAAAAGTGTTTTAAATAAGTTGGGCCATATGGAAATAGAGTTGTTCGTCGACCAAAGAAACTTGAAGGAATTTGAAAAATAAGGTTACATATTTCTTGAGCCATTTCTTTAGTGTTGAACCAGCACCAGCACTCAGACTCCTGATTCAGTCATTTCCTTTGTTGGGATTAAGACCTAATCCGTCTATACCTGTGTTTTCACAGCTGTAAAATGGGAGCTACACCTATTGATGAGGTGCAGTGCATATACTCAAGTGGAGAGGTACATCTGAGAGAGTGGCTAAAGGAACGTGTATATGCGAAACTCCTTCTCTGTTGTGTTCCTTTGTAGTGCAGTTGATCCCTCCCATGCTTCTCCTCTGAATTCTGCAGAGTGAGTGACATAAGCACCACATGTATTAGTGCAGGAAAAGCTGCACAAAACCTGCCAAAATGGGCTGGAGCTGCCATTGAGTGGCGGGTCCAGCCTCTTTGTGCCCCATGTCTGGAGAGAGACATGTGAGATCCAACACGTGTGATCTGGTAGTGAACAACTAGCTTGGTAAAATTTTCCTGCAGTTACAGTCTGGATACTCTTCAGAGGAATGAAAGGGCTTCCTTGAGGTGACAGGTCCTGCATCCTGATCTGGTGCTCCACTCTGGAGTCAGTCAGGAGCTGCAGGGGAGCAGTGGTGTTTCTGTTAAGAGCACAGAGCCAGAACCATGGAGATATGGGCCAAACAGTGAGTTATGTAATGGCATTCCCCAAAGGGTAGTGTAAAGATGAGATGATTTCCTTCTGTCAAGACAAAGAGCAGCTGTACAATCCCTCTACAATGTTCTCTCTAGCCCTAGGTTTCTTAGGAGCAATCCAGGCAGGGAGTCGGGACCCTGTAATATCACATCTACCAACAGCACTTTATTGCCTTCCACAGCTAATTCCTTCACAAATATTCCTTTGCAATATCCTCATAAAGAGCCTCAGAAGTGGAATAGAGCCACTATGGCCAGAAAGGGAAACCAGACTCAGTCTCTGGGGAGGGGAAAGTTATGATCTTACTGTGTGTCTTTCTCAGGGGTTTGAGGAGTGATAATGTGGAGTTACAGAACACCAGGACAAAACAGAGGTTCTGGCTATAGCTATAGGAGGTTATACAAGACAAATCAAGGGAGGGAGAACTGTCTCAGAAGGCTTATTAATTTGTTTCATTTGGATGAAATAAATAGACTGGAAGTGAAGGAGATATTTTATGTATAATAGTAGGTTTAATATTAGTTAAATCTGCACTCTTGATCTTAGCCAAAAGGCTGAGAAAGAGGGAACAGGCAGAGCTGAATTATCCAGACTGTTATTGCCCAGAACTGGATTTTTGGAAGGTGATTGGCTGGTGACAATCCAAAATTATACAGACAGCAAGTCGTGCAAGGGCCATCAGCCAGCCTTTAATGGCTACAGGTGCTCAGGCCCTGGCTTCGATTCCCATCCTCAGATGCTGCCTCCGGAAGCACCAAAGGGACATACATATTTATGAAATACCAGGTTTTATCCACTTTTTTCAACTTTTCCATTTCTGTTGCCAGTTTATTCTCCCTGAGGACAGACTGCTTTAAACCAGTATGTCTTCAAAGACAGAGTGGCTGAAAACCATAATTTTTATTCAATTCAACTTTTTAGGGCAAAACTTGGTTTTCAGCCAATCAAGGCATTTAATCATTAGTAATTTAGAAGGTCAGAACACCAAGATGATGTTGTGTTCTTTGTCACTAATACAGAAATACTTTAAGTGCAGTCAGCAAACAGATTTATATGTAACTTCTCTAGATTTGAATTTAGCTGTTTCAAATTAAATAATAAAAATTGTTTTATGGAGAACTTAAAGTGCAATTATTATTGGAAAAGTAACTGTGTCAGTGATACTTTGTTATTCATCAGATATGTTCTTTCCATGAATTCATCTGCTTGATGAAGTAGCAAAAATCCACTTCCATTATTTTTTTAACTCTTGTTGCTACAGGCTGAGCTCAGGGAATGCTGCAGCCCTTGGAAATTGCCCTGGCCCTTGGACTGTGAATTATGTCCATGACAGAGTTTATATTTTGATATGTCAGTCTCAGTTGCATGGTAAAATAGCCATAATAACTTGCATTGGATTATAGTCATGCAGTGTGATTTAAGAGTTGAGACTGACTTTTCAGAATTATTAGGGATTAAAAACCTGCTCATTTGTTGACTTAGCAAGCTGAATTGGGGCTGTAAGCTTTTATTCTTGTTTTTCTTTCCTGTCTCTACAACTAAGTTGTTCAGATGACACATCCTGAGATTGCTGATGTGCTCAAGCTGGGACGTCCAAGACTTACATCAAACATCCATAGGTTCCTATAATTTCAAGTAAGGCCAGTAAAATCTATTGGTCCTGAAGAACTTCGAGAGCCCAGGGCTGCATATTTTGGGAAGAATTTCTCCATGGAAAAGGTGTCCAGGCATTGGAAGGGGCTGCCCAGGGAGGTGGTGGAGTCCCCATCCCTGGAGGTGTCCAAGGACGTGGCACTCAGTGCTCTGGGCTGGGGGACAAGGTGGGGATCGGGCACAGCTTGGACTCAGTGGTCTGGGAAGGCTTTTCCAGCCTCAGTGATTCCATGATTCTGGGAGGGGTGACTCCCCACAGGGGCAGCTGAGTTTACCAGACACTCCAGGCGTTCTGTGCTCCTGAAATACCGTCTGTAAAATGGTGATAATCCAGCAATGTCTACGTAGTGCTGGGGGATGATAAGAAATCAGCATCAATCTTTCTCCATTCCATAGGGAGAGTTATGTTTATGATTAGGGAATGAACCTTGGTCCTCTCAGCTGAATATTTCCCTCACTTATCTCACATGGTAGGAACAGCAGTAGCAGAGCACTCATCATTTTATTGAAAAAACCCTGGCTTATAGACAGCATGTTTGCCATGAGAGTTTTCTCTAACCCTTGTTGAAATGTTTTAGAACTTGTAATTTTAAGCTATGCATAAATGTCTGTAGCTGATATTCTGTGAGCCTGTGAAGGCAATAAGGGCGACCTGATTACGTGTGTTCACAGATCTCTCTCTGCTTCACGTTCCTGCAGACCAGAACAACAACATAACTTTCTTCTTTCAGGATAGTTAATGGTCTGGCCCAGAATTACAGCACCAGATGTGTTGCCACAGAAACAATTTAAAGGGAGAAGGAATTGTGAGCAAATTGTCTTTCTCGTGGAAAATGTTTAAGAGCCTCCCATTGGTTTCCATGTGTCTGTCTATGTGTGTGCACAGCAGAGAATAAGGGACAGTTTTGCTTCTTATTTCATACATCTGTTAGTGGTTTAAAATGCTGTATACAGGGCTGAAAATTGAAAAATATTCTATTATGGGCATGACTTACGTACCTCAGAGACATTTTTTATTAAATCCTGACTCATTTCTAGAAACTTTTTCCTTGAAAAATGTGCAGTGTGCTATCTGATTTACTTACCTCCACTTGCAACATGCTTTGGAAAATATTTCCAGT